TGTGCCTGAGGCTGAGAGTGATGCTGGCATCCCAGAAAGGAGGCTGGACCCACTTGGAGAAGAATCTGCTGATGGGGCCTAGCTACCCGGGAGTGCCCTTAGCCTGTGCCCAGGGTCATGGGCACTTGGCTAGGCTGTGTGGAGGGGTCAGGACAGCCCCAAGCAGGGTGTGGGTGCTGGGATCCTGCTTTAGCTGGACCCCTTCCCCCCTGGAGCTGGTGTACAGAGCAGAGGTGGTATCTCCCTGCTGTGGGCCTGCCAGGGAGGCGCTGTCTCCTTGACCAGCTCCCTCCCTGGGGTGGGGCAGATGAAGTATGGGGGCACGTAGCTGTGGGGTGGCTCAGGCCTCCCATCTCTGGGGGGGTCTCACACAGAGGATCCCAGTGGAGTGGTGGCCATGTGGTCAGATGCTGGGCTGGGCAGAGGCTGTGGGTTGACACTCCCAGCAGGCAGGGCGGGCACATGCTGGCCCTGGCACCCAGGGACGCGGTGGGCATGATTCACAGTGACATCTGGGGCCAGTTGGCAAAGAGCTGGGTGAGATGGGCAGGAGCAGGTGGGGCTGCTCGGAGGGCCACCTCTGCATTTTTCCCAGAAACATGGAGCCCTGGAAGGTGGCTCGGGCCTCCTGCCTCTGGGAGGGGCCGGGGTTACTCGTGGGAAAGGCAGAGGAGATTCCTGGGCTTTGGGGGCGTGAAGTTTGGGTGCTGCATTTTGTCTTTGCCACTTTGTGACCTTGAGCAAGTCATCTGTCCCCTCTGAGCTTCAGTTTTCCTCACGTGTGAAAAGAGGATAGTAATGGCATCTGCCCGCCTCCTAGGACTGTTGGAGGGATTAAATAGAGTGGAGGGACCCGCCCTGTGTGGCTCAGTCGTTGAGCATTGACCCATGAACCAGGAGGTCAATTCCTAGTCAGGGCACATGCCCGGGTTGTGGGCTTGATCCCCAGTGGGGGGCGTGCAGGAGGCAGCCGATCGATGATTCTCTCATTGATGTTTCTATCTCTCTGTCCTTCTCCCTTCCCCTCTCTCTAAAAAATCAATTAAAATATTAAAAAATAAATAGAGTTGAGGGGATTAGATAGAGGGCTTAGCACAGTGCCTGACGCAGAGCAGGTGCTCAGTAAACACTCTGCACTGTGAGGCGGGGGGATGACGGTGGGGTCGGTCCGGTCCTCTCCATCTTGGGGCCCTTCTAGATGAAAGAGCCCACTTGGGCCTCTCCCCTGCCCCTACCCCCCTTACCAAGACCAACCAAGGTTGCTGTCTTTAGCCATCACCGGCCAGGCTGCCTTCCCTGCCATCATGCAGGTCGGCAACAGTAGGGCCTACACCGAAAACTGCCTGGCGGCCGGAAACCACGAGCGGGAGGCCCGCCTCCCTCGGAGGGTGGGGCAGCGGTGTTGCTAACGGTAGGTGGTTAACTGTACGCACATGTGGAAGGGGGCAGGGAGGCCTCCACTTCCCTCTGAGAGAGGGTGCGCTGGTGGTGGTGGTGGTGGGGGGGGTTCCCCAGTGAGTAAGAGCTCGGTGTGGGCAACAACAGGAAGCGTAGGGTGCTGGGTGGCAGGAAATGGGGCTGGCTGTTCCTGATTCCTCAGACGGGAGACTGGGCCAGGCTGTCTGCAGAAGACCTGGGGGGCCGGGACCCACATTTTTCATAGTCCTCGGTGCTCCTTCTTTAGAGGGAAGGGAATCGTCTTACCTGCTTGCCAGCCAGGTCACCGTGGGCTAGCGACTGAATCTCTCCGTGCCTCCGTTTCTCATTTGTGAAATGGGGACTGAAATAGTGTCAATCCCGTAGGCTTGTTGTTGAGGTTTCAATGAGTTAAAGCATTGAGAATGGAACCTCGCACAGAATGTTTTGGGAGTATTTATTATTAGTGTTTAAATATAATTTTCATTGATTTCAGGGAGGAAGGGAGAGGGAGAGAGAGATAGAAACATCAATGATGAGAGAGAATGATGAGAGGGAATCATTGATCAGCTACC